AACACCAGAGATCCACCAATCCATCAAAGCTCCTCTGGGAAAGGACAGGCTGTAGCTGCATTTTAGCAGCAGCACCTCGTGCCATATGGAATATGGAAGCGAAACTCAGCTGCCAGCACATGCCCAGCAGCACGGTGAAAACAACCCAGGGCTCAGGGGAGATTAAAGGCAGGAGGAGGGGTGTGGAGGGGGGCGGGAAATCCCAGCTGGTAGCACAACAACACAGGATTAAACCTGGGCTAGTGCAGAGCTAATGCAGAGGGAGGGGAGAGGAGAGGATGGGGGTGTCCAGTCCCAGATGTCAGGAAGCACAGAAAGATTTCTGAAGTTCGACCCATTTCAAAGATCATCACTTGTTGTTTGATCCCATCACAGATGAGCAGCACAGCAGAAGAGCTTATGATGTGATCTCTGAAAACAGCTTGTGATTATTTCTTTGCTATATTGGTACTTCCCAGATGCTGCTGGAATCACACCAGTACAGAAGGGCTTCATACCAGTATAGCTCCCTCCCTCTTCCCACTTATGTAAATAGCCATCATGGCAATTTTTATAAATTCACCTATGCCAGGGTAAGGGGTTATGTGGCTTTAAATACAGCAAGAATAGTGGCTAATATCTTAGCATAGACTTAATTAAATAATTAATTAAATCTGTGCCCTCACTGAGTGTCAGCCAGCCCAGAGGGTCCAGAGTAAGAGATAAAACAGATTCAAGTACAAGTTTTACTATAGGTATAAGTGATTATAGCTAGTCTGCTCAGCCATGGCTGTCTAAACTCATTTGCTTCCTTATGAATTCCATGGGAAGCATTGGACCTAGACTGGCCATTTGAGGACCCATGGGACTTCCTAGACATCCATGGGCATACAAGCAGAACACAACACCTCCTGGAGACCTCAGCTGTTCTGGAACATCAGCTTAAGTCTAAGTAGGTTGTCCTGTTGTTGCTCTAGACTTCATCATGGGCATGTTGAATCAGAAGACCTTAGCAGGAGACCCTCATTTTACAAGCAGGTTGTCCTGCTGTGGCTCTAGACTTCAATATAGGGATGTTGAATCTCAGTAGACTTTATCAGGAGACCTTCAACTTGCAAGAAGGAACCTGTGTTGAGATGTCATCATCTGTGAGTTGAAGTCCACTGTTGCATTCTCTTCACTCCTATTCTGCCTCAGACTCTTTTTCTGTCACCAAGATGTGGAAAAGATGGATTTATTGATAACAAGGTGCCCAGAGACTGTTCCATTGTGGGCCATGTACGTACTGCAGGGAAAGACAGCCATCCCTCTCCCAGGATCTTTGAATCTTCTCCTTTAGTGACAATTCTTAAGTAACTTCCAGCACAGATCTTGTACCCCATACAGGGCTGTAAATAAACAGCTCTATCTCCATTTCCACTCCCTTCAAGACCCTTGAAAAGTGACCCTAGAGGAGAATAAAGGACAAACCTGTGCATCAAAGCAGCCCCAGGACAGAGCTGGCTGCAGTAGGGGATGCCACAAAGCCCACATAAGACGTTCCTTTATTACATCTTTCCAGCTTTGACTTCATGGTCTATTTTTAGCACAGCTGAAGGTTTAACAGTTTTGGAGAAGTCAGTTAAACATTGTCAGGAAAAAGTCTCAGCCTTTCCATCCATGACCCAGAAGGCAGATTTGGATCTTTGATTCACCTGGAGGCTGTTTTCCCAAGCACAGTGCTGGAGCCGATGGGTTGTGCGCATCTCCCATCATGGCACAGCAGCAAAATCTCCTGCTCCCCCCGCGGTGACTCATGAGCTGACAGACCCTTCCTGAATTACTGAGGCTGGAATTACAGCTGTTCCCCCAGCCCCCTCCCTTCCTCCTTGTCCAATGTGTCATATTAAAGTGTGATCGGCTTACACATGCTGCAGTATGGATTCCTTAAGCTTTGTAGCGCTGTGGCTATATATAAAGCCTCACGCTGGAAACTGAAGTACACAGACAGCTGCAATAGTAGGGAGCGTTTCACATTCCCAGTGTGCTGACAGTCTGGAAGCAAGGGAGGCTGAGAGTCCTGCTTTGAGCAAGTTTCCTTACCAGGGGCTCAGGTATAGATATATTCATAATTACCTATAGAAGAAGGATTGGGAATAAAAACCCCAAGTGGTTACTCTTCACCATGGGTTTGCCTCTTGATCAAGTGGAAGAATTGCGTCTCTACCAGCAAACTCTTCTTCAGGATGGACTCAAAGACATGTTGGACCACAATAAGTTTCTGGACTGTGTCTTAAAAGTCAAAGGGAAGGAGTTTCCCTGCCACCGCTTGGTGCTGGCAGCTTGCAGCCCCTATTTTCGAGCAATGTTCCTCTCAGACATGGAAGAAAGCAAGAAGAGGGAGGTCAGTTTGGAAGACGTTGATCCAGATGTCATGGGCAAGATCCTCCATTATATCTACACCTCTGAGCTGGAGATCACAGAGCAGAATGTGCAGGACATCTTCTCTGTGGCCAACATGTTCCAGATTCCCTCCATCTTCACCGTGTGCGTGTCCTTCTTGCAGAAGCGGCTCTGCCTCAGCAACTGCCTGGCTATCTTCAGGCTGGGACTGATGCTGGATTGTGCCCGTCTGGCTGTGGCAGCTCGGGATTTCATTTGTGATCGCTTTGCACTGGTCTCACGGGATGAGGAATTCTACCAGCTCTCCCCCGATGAGCTTATTGCCATCATCTCCAGTGACTCCCTCAACATCGAGAAAGAGGAGACTGTCTTTGAAGTAGTGATGAAGTGGGTGGGGACCAAGGACCGTGAGAGCCGGCAGAAGGCCTTGCCTGTCATCTTTGAAAGCATTCGCTTCCGCCTCATGCCCAACGACTACATCAAGGACCACGTGGAGAAGCATGCCATGGTGAAGTCCAGCCCAGAGCTCCTCAAGAAACTGCAGATGGTGAAGGATGCCCAGAAAGGCAAAATCACTGTGCTGAAGAAGAAGAAAGTGAAGAAAAACAGTGAAAATCAAGCAAAAGACAATATTGTCAATGGAGCAGTAGATGAGGAGGAAGATACAGAGGAGGATGTTCTCCCAGGAATCTTAAATGACACAATGCGCTTTGGGATGTTCCTCCAGGACCTTATTTTCATGGTGAGTGACAGTGGAGCAGTGGCCTATGATCCCAATGCCAACGAGTGCTATTTTGCCTCCCTGTCTACTCAAATCCCAAAGAACCACATCAGTCTGGTGACCAAAGAGAATCAGATCTTCATTGTTGGAGGACTATACTACAATGAGGACAGCAAAGAGGATCCCATGAGTTCCTACTTCCTACAGGTACTACTTTTATCTTTCTTTTGTTTTTTTGACCACTTCAGGGCATCATCAGTTCTTCGCTTTCATGTGATGCCAGTAATATTCACTGTCATGTGATGTTAAAACAAATGAAGGGGAAACATCTGAGTTGCTTTACTAGAGATCCTTCTCCCTGTATTTTTAAGGCAGATCCCAATGAGGGTGGGTTCTGGTAATTGAGGAAGGAGGACTGAAGGGGTAGATAATAGCAATAAGCCTTCATGATCCCAGTCCTAAATAGGGGACTGTTTAGAACAAAGAATTTGGCCCAACCCTGCCTGCCATAGGGCACACGAACTGAAAGGTTAGTGGCATCAGGTCTGGGTTCCACTTTGCATCCTTTGTGTTCCTTGGTGATGAACTTCCAGCAAAACCCAAGGGTGACTCTGCCAGGTGCCAAAAAAGGAGCAGCAGCAGCTACAGCCTCAGAGAAAACACGGCAAGGACACAGGGGGTTTCCCTGCCTGCCAATACGTGCCCCATTTCTGGTGCCATTCTTGCCCCTGGAGATGGGGTTGTTCCAGCTCAGAGTCCTTGCCTTGGCCATTTCCATTCTGTGAGGGGGAAACCACAGTGTGTCATCTTTTTGGGACATTCCACAAGGAAAGTGGCTGTTCTAACTCAGTGACCAAAGCTGTGATCAGATTGAGCTGTGTACAGGCAATCTGAGCCCTAGCCTGGGCTGTAACCCAAGAGCATTTTCCCTGTAGACAGCTAAGTCAAGGCGCCTACCCTTTCTGCTGACTCTGAGGAATCCAGTAAATCCTCTGTTCTTCCTCCCATACCCAGAAATCCTTTTATTCTTATCCATGTCTCACATCTTCTGGGAAGAAACAATAATATATCCAGGCAGAAAGGATGAAGTAAGGGTCATTCCCAAGCTAAGACATACAGCCTTGATCCCTCCCTTGCCTTGTTGCATGGGTAGGGCTGCACATCTGCATCATGTGTGCAAGGACTCATAGACTATATAGATATAGAATGTTTTGGGCTGGAGGGGACCTTAAAGATCATCTAGTTCCAACTTTCTGCCATGGGCAGGGACACCTTCCACTAGAACAGGTTGCTCCAAGCTCCATCCAAAGTGGCCTTGAACATTTCCAGGGATGAGGCATACACAACTTCTCTGGGAAACCTATGCCAGTAACTCACCACCCTCACCATGCTTGTCCTCACCTGGAAAGGGTCAGGAGGTTATGCAGGCCAGATGAATCCCACAAAATGAGAAGCCAGCAGGAAGAACATCCAGCTCCAGAAAGCAGGATGGAGGGGAAAGGCAGTGGGAGTGATGGGGGATGTGCTGTTTGAGATACAGCCCTTCACATAGAACAATGATGACAACATCTAGTCCCAAGCCCCTCTGACCTGGTCAGGGACACCTTCCACTAGACCAGGTTGCTCAAAGCTTTATCCAACCTGGCCTTGGACACTGCCAGGGTTGGGGCATCCACAGTCTCCCTGGGCAACCTGTGCCAGTGTCTCACCACCCTCACAGCAAAAAACATCTTCCTAATATCTAATCTGAACTTCCCCTCTTTCAATGTATCTCTATTACTCCTTTCCCCATCACTACAGTTCCTAACAAAGAGTCCCTCTCCAGCTTCCCTGTAGCTCCTTCAGATACTGGAAGGTTGCTATGAGGTCCCAGCTCCCATACATTCAGCTCTCATCATCCTGGAGAAGGGGAAGGGAAGATCTCATTGGTGTCTGCAGTTCTCTAATGGGAGGGGACACAGAAGAGTGATCCAGATTCTTCTTGGATTGACACAAAAGTGGGACAAGAGGCAATGGGCACCAGGTGCAGAAAGGAAAATTTCAGTTAGCTGCAAGGAGGAGTACTAGAGCAGTAATGGAGCAGAGTCCAGAGAGGTCACAGAACCTTCATAGAATCATAGAATGGCCTGGGTTGGAAGGGACCTTAAAAAATCATCTAGCTCCAATCCTGCTGCCATGGGAAGGGACACCTTTCACTAGGCCAGGTCGCTCAGAGCTCCATCCAAACTGGCTTTGAACACTCCTAGTGGGGGAACATCCCTGAAAACATTTTGTAGTTGGCTGCCCTGGCAACCTTCTCTAACTCCAAAGCTGTGCCTTTCATCCAGCTGGGCTGGATTAAAATCCTTTGGAGGTCCCTTGAACCCAAAGTACTCTGTGGCTGTAAGCTGCAATCATCAAGATTTCTATATTCAGCTCCTAATTTGCCACTGACTCAGTAGTAAATGCCTTGGGCATCATGTGGCTATTTCTATCTCCTTCCCCATAAGAAGGGGACAGTGGTCCCTTCACACCTTGCTGTGGCACTCATGCACGGGAGGTGCAGATCCATCCTGGGGTTGGAGAGTGCCATCAGTTTGCAAAGGTGTAATTTATTGCATCAGTGCCATTACATAGCTCACAGTTCCTGTGTGAGCCCCTTTTCAGCAGAAACAACACAGATGTAGACAGGCAGCTGTATGACAACCCCTTGAACCACTGTGAGGCAGCTCCCCACACCTTCTGACTCTGTTTCTATCCTCCCTAATTTCACATTCCTCCTGCTCAAGTCAGAAGTGTTAGGTCAGGGATAGGTTAGATTTAAGGACAGGCACCAAAATGTAAAAATGCTGATAAATCCCAGAGGCCTTGCGGATTTTGGCAGGAGCAAAATGATTCCATTGACATTTCAGATGGAAAAGGGTATCCTTCCTTTGTCACTTCTAAGATTTATGACTTGAGAACAATGCTGAATCCATCAAGAAGCAGGAACTATCCTGATGACTGAGCTGTTTGGGCTTGCACTATAAATAACACATATGTGGACCACAGCTTACAAAGAGACAAAACCCACAGGCACCCAGCTGAGGCCAAGTCTTTGGAGCCAACCCAACTAGCTAAAACTCTTTGGCCTGAGCCCATAGCAAACAGTGCTTCAGGCAATGCTGCATCACAGTTTCATCTTGTGGAGTCCTACAAAACTGGCTGCAAGACATCATTCCCTCCTCTGCTATCAAGCTACATTATAAACTTTTGACCCAATTTGCAGTTCCCATCAAGCCATGGTGCCCAGAGAGGCCCCAGCCTCATAATATTTCACACTTTGGGGTTTTTCTATGGTGGGAGGTGGGGCAATGCCTTGATCTACAGATGTCCAAGGATTTTCCCATCTGATCTAGCAGCACCATATGGATCGGTTGCTTATCTACCAGATGAGTCTGGCACACTCCGTGTAGCCAACATTGCCAACACCACACTGTTACCTGGCAGAGATGGAAAATATCAGGATGAAACACTGAGATGTGCTACATCTGAAAAGGTTCAGGCAAAAATTTCAAAGATTGAAGTGCTTCAACTCCTCCATTATAGGTCCCACGTGAGGCTCCCTCATCCAAAGATGACCAGGCTTGTTCCAAGTCAATGCTTGGCTGCACAGCACAGAATATGTTCATGCCGCGTCATCTCTGCTCTTACATTTTGCCATAAAAAATATATCATATGACATATGGGTTTTCTCTAAGATCTCCCATCCTGCACCAGGTGGTAAAGGCACAGAGTGCTACTGGGGTGACAAAGGTGCACATGAGAACAGATTTTGCCCTCAGCCTCTGAGTTTTGCTCAGGCAGTGGGCAGGGTGAGCACACACTAATGATCATATGCTTCCTTCCAGTATGACCATCTGGACGCAGACTGGCTGGGGATGCCCCCCCTGCCCTCCCCTCGCTGCCTCTTCGGCCTGGGAGAGGCAGAAAACTCTATTTTTGTGGTTGGAGGGAAAGAACTGAAAGAGGGAGAGAAGACCTTGGATTCAGTCCTGTGCTATGATCGACTGTAAGTGTTCACATGTGAATGTGGGGTGGGAGGTGGTATAGAGAAGGTGAAGCAGCTCTGATGCAAAATGATTCCAGCTCTCCAGGGGTCAAAAGGTTTTGCAGACAGGACTTGAACTCTGGATCTAGATGCTGGGACCACTGGGACTGTCTCAAGCTGTGCCCTGGGGCTCTGAGCCGTCTCTCTCCACCTGCTCCATTTATTGTAATTGAACTCCCCTGGAGATGGAAGCTGTACTGGGAATGTTATGTTATCAGGGACTGATATTAGCAGAAGCTCATGTGAGACCTGTACAGAGAAGCAAGAGGAGTTTTTCCCTCTGCTTTTGCCCATTGCTTGAAAGCTCTGTGACATTCACTGTGGTCTCACCAGAAGTGGTTTGAACAGGGAAGTTTGTTTTGAAAATCTTCAGATGTGGCACTGAAGGGCTCATCCTGATTGATATGAGGCTTAATATCCAATTATTTTTGGACAATGGGCTCTGACTTATGCTAAGTCATGAGCTTTATTAACAGGCACCATCCTGTTCTGCTCTCAGGAGACTGAAACGTTGAAAGCCTGCTGCTCTCCGCCCCGAAGAGGCAGAGCAGTGGGCGTCAACAAGCCTTTGCTTGGTCTATATTTAGATGTGTGTGCTTCAAAGTCCGTTTTATAGGCAGAGATTTGAAACCAGTTTCATTCTCACAGAATGGGGCATTTATCTGCCCCTGCATACTCTGGGAAAGGATGTGTCTGCCACCTCTAAGTGCTCAGGGGATGTTTTGAATATCAGTTTGAAGCTGGTAGAGATGTGATCAGCACCACTTTATCTCTAGTATTATGTGGTCAGTGTTATTCTAGCATTGTTTTGATTGCCCACAGCTGAACATGAGCCAGCAGAGTGCCCAGGTGGGCAAGAAGGCCAGTGGCATTCTGGCTTGTATCAGCAGTAGTGTGGCCGGTGCGACTAGGGAAGTGATTGTCCCCCTGTACTCAGCACTGGTGAAGCATCTCAGTTCCTAGGTGCAGTTTTGGGCCCCTCATGATAAGAAAGACATTGAGGTGCTGGAGTGTGTCCAAAGAAGGGCAACGGACCTGGGGAAGGGGCTGGAGCACAAGTCTCATGAGGAGCAGCTGAAGGTACTGGGGTGCTCAGCCTGGAGGAAAGGAGGTTCAGGGGGACCTTATTGCTCTCTACCTGAAGACCAAGAGTAGTGGATACTGAAGAAAATAATGGATATTAGCATAAACATTCTGCATATTTTATTTCCCCCCTGTTTTTAGGATGACAAAATCTACTGGATGAGCCTATCTCATTGAAAATCTCATATTTTTGAGACTGAGTCAAGCTCTGTGCTTACCTCTAGGTCTGGAAAGTGCCATCTACTCTAGGTGTCACCCAGCAAGCTACAAATCCTTTTACTCCCCATCTTTCTCTGATCCAGGTCCTTCAAGTGGGGTGAAGCTGATCCCCTTCCCTATGCAGTCTATGGCCATGCAGTGGTATCACACAAGGATCTAGTCTATGTCATCGGTGGCAAAGGAAGTGACAAGTAAGTCAAAAACCAAGAGAAATTCAAGGAGTCATCCCCTAAACCATTGGGAGTGTAGAGCATGAGTTGGTACCTACCCAGCCTAGGTTACCCCTGGATAAGGTGTGAGATGTGGATCCTTCAGCTCACCTCTGTGCTTGAAGCCCATTCCAAGCCCTTAGGAGGCCAACAGGAACATCAGGGAGGTGGTAGTGTCCTTGCAGGAGAGGGAATGTATTGCTCTATCCCCAGGGCCAGTCTGGATGGGGCTTTAAGCAAACCTGGTCTAGTCAAAGGTGTCCCTGCCCATGGCAGAGGGGTTGGAACTAGATGATCTTTAATGCTCTTACCAACCCAAACCACTCTATGATCCTCTTTGCTCATAAAAAAAACCCCCACATCACATAGATTGGGAGAGGCACTGACAGCAAGAAACCTCTTCACATTGAGGGTCTCCTGTCTCGGGCTTGTGGAGCAGCATGATCCCAGTAGTCAAATCCAGATGGGTATTTGCAACAGGAGTGAAAAACCTCTTCCAACCTGACCCCTATCCTCCCCTCCTGCAGATGAGCACAGCAGGAAAAGCCTCTGTCAGGGACTGTCACAGCAGCTGCTCTGCAGGGCAGAAGTGTGACTGCAGAACAAACATGCCATAATCCAGCAAAGATAGGTCCTGCTTGGAAAAGATAATGGTCTTCAAGGTGTGAAAATGCATACATTCACAATTTGCACTGCTGACCCGGGGCTGGGGTTGTCACTGATGGTGTTTCACAGCATTAATGTGGATCAGGAGCACTAAAACACTGTCTTGATGTCTGTGTGCGAGGTCCTGAGAGGCTGTTGTTTACACGAACCTGTATCCAGCTGTGTGAGCACCACGTTGAGCTTTCAGAACTCCTATCCTAAGTGAGCACAGCAGGAGTGGATACTACACACACAAGTGATGACTCCAGACATGGGAATCCTTGGGTGCACACACAAGTGTGCTCCTTCCTTCATGCTGATGTGGAGGAGCAAAATCCTCTCTGGAGACCGAACATTCTTCCCAGCAGACATCCCCAAACTCCTGCAGTGTAAAACTAACCTTTGGCAGCTGATTGAGGCTCCTTTTCCCTCTCATCTTTGTCTAGGAAGTGTATGAAGAAGATGTGTGTCTACAATCCATCCAAGTTTGAGTGGAAGGAGATGGCTCCCATGAAAACTGCCCGCTCCTTGTTCGGAGCCACTGTGCACAAGGACAAAATCTATGTGGCTGCTGGTGTGACCGACTCTGGTTTGACCAACTCGGTGGAAGTCTATGACATTGCCACCAACAAGTATGTACCTGAGCACATCTCTGGGGTGTAGCTACACAAGGAGCAGCTGCAGGTGTGCATTAAGCAACTTCCATCCATTCTGGAGTTTGTGACTCTCAATACCAGTTCCTCACAGTCTGTATGACCATGCCAGCAGGTTGGAACTAGATAATCTTTAAGGTCCCTTCCAACCCAAACCATTCTATGATTCTATGATTTCTCAGACAGCTGAGCATCACCAATGTCACTATGGTTGAGCAGCTATGGATCATCTCAGGCTCATCTTCAAATTGGTTTCACCAACTGGTGCTGTCATTGAGTTCCCTGCAGGGCTGTAGTTTCATCTTGGCAGCTTCACCCAACACATTAGACTTAACTTTGGGTGGGCCTTGCAGCTGCAGTCTCACTGTTGGGACATACTAGTCCATGCCAGCTGTGGTATACTAGTCCATGCCAGCTGTGGTTCACAGGTCCTGTATTTAATGCAAAATGAAGCTGAACCATGATAATGAGAACAGCTGTCCCCCAAAACTGCCAGTGTATGATCCCATCCCATGTAGACCTGCACAACTTGAACTGTCACTAGTGAATTCAGTTGATTTGAGGCCACCCTCAGCATGGGGGTAGCAAGGTGTTCTAACATTTCCTCTCTCTCCATGTGGCAGGTGGGACACCTTCACTGAGTTCCCCCAGGAGCGCAGCTCAGTCAGCCTCGTGAGCTTGTCTGGAGTGCTCTACCTGCTAGGAGGGTTTGCCACAGTGGAGACAGAATCTGGAGAGCTGGTGCCAACAGAGCTGAATGATGTTTGGAGGTGATGATCTTCCTTGGGGCTGTCCAAGAGACCGTGGGAGGGATGTTAGTGATGAAACAGATAGTGTCTCTTTCCTGATGCTCTCAATATGAGATGGAAGTTGTCACCCAAGCACAAAGCTGCAGGCTCTGTGCAGGGTCTCTGGGTGGGACGTTTGTCCTGTGCCACCCTGGAGGACACATTAGGAGGTTCCGTGTCCTCTCCCAGCCTCATATACCAATGCACCAGGGAAAATCTACTCCTTTAACTTTACTGCTGCATTGACATTTTGCCTGGAGCTGGTCCCAGCCTCCCCTTTGGTGTGGAGCAGCATCTGCATGATGCATCCTCTCCCTGGGAACAGCCAGTGCTTGGGCTGGGAAGCAGATAGCCTTACATGTGAGCAGAGAAGAAGGCAGAAAGCACTTTGTGACAGCTACTAATGCAGCATTAACTGCTCCTGTCCCTCACATTGGTGCTCTGGCACCCTCAGCAGGCACCTGCTGTCCTTCACTCATGGATGTTCCATCTTAGTGCCATCAACCTGTTTCCCAATGGAAAAATAGCCCCTTCCCCTGAGACCAGGTGCTGATACCCACATCCCCCAGTCTGATGCTGCAAACCAGAGCTGGAAGTCCCCATGCAGCTCCCACAGGAATCTTGTGGCCAAATAATGCCTGTGGGACATCATCCCAAGCACCAGGACTGCGCCACTATGGAGAGCAGCTGAAGGGAGGGAGAGAAGATGCTTTCCTCACCATAACTGTCTGCCTGTTTCTCCCCAGATATGATGAAGAGCAGAAGAAGTGGGAAGGAGTCCTCCGGGAGATCCAGTATGCCTCCGGAGCCACTTTCCTTCCTGTGCGCCTCAATGTTTTGCGCCTAACGAAGATGTAGTGGGGTGTGATTGACCCTTTTTCCATGGGGTCTGGGGTAAGGAGGGATGGGGGGAGGTGAAGTGATGCTTATCAGAGATGTGACATCTGGATATTGTGTAGGACATTGCATCTGTGATTGGTACCTTTTTATTTAAATGGGAAAGATGGGAATGTATCTGAAAGCCCTATGGGAATTTGAAGATGTTCAAAAGGTAACTAGAGAAGGGATCTGGAGCCTGCAAGGAGCTGGAGGAGACTGAACAGCACAGAGCAATGAGTTATCCCAGTCTCAGTAGACAGGACAAAAAGATCATATGTTTATTCTTCTTTCTCTGTGTTTTTCCCCATCTTCTCAATGGCTGTTGAACCTTCCAAACCAACAGTGGAGGCAGAAAGTGGGGAAGGGAATATGGTGGTGGTGCTGGGTTGCTCTTTGGACTTGATGACCTTAAAGACTTTTTCCAACCTTAACGATTCTATGATTCTAAGTTGACATTCCCCAGGAAAGAGGGTCTATAAAGTATTTCCTCACCTAAAGTAGTTGTGAGCATGGTACTAGAGCCCACCCTGGAGAGGAGAAATGTCAAAGTAAAGTGGTACAGGAGAAACATAGGGGGACTTTGATGAGGGACGATGGGATGAGACAGTTGAAAGAAAAGAGCAAGTGAGCATGGGCTGCAGAAACATTTGGAAAGTTGCAGTGAAAATATAATAAAAAAAATCTTAGTTCTTTGCCTCCACCTTGACTTTGGAGTGAGTCCAAGAGCTGAGTCTGCAGGAGGGAAGGAGTTGTGCAAGTAGAAGGGTAGGAAAGTGGGGAGAGATGGAGAGGGGGTGCCATGAGTACTCATCTCCAGCCTTTTGGGTTCCTCATCTTCAATCACAGATCTCAATGTCCTCGCCTATGGATTGATAAGTGCTGTTTTTCAGGGAAAGGTTTTATATTTTTGCTGTTTCTCATATTTTTAATGTTTGACCTTTTTTTCTAAGAGTATTTTACTTTGCTAAGTACATGGAGATCTCATGTGTTTGGCTCAGAGAGTTTCCTACTGAGGAAAAATGAATATTTATTTTAAAGTTATCCATAATGGTGTTTTGATAGAAACACGACTGTACTGGCAGCAGGACAAAGATCTGTTAGAGTAAAAATCTCCTGATGCCCACACCATCTGACCAGTGGTTTATTTAAAAATAAATGAGGCTATTTCAAAAGAAATCCCCTGTGTTTGTGTGTTGATAGAGCTGAAACTGAACACCCACAGCAACTGAAGACAACGACCAAGCATAAGCTGTGATAAATACGTGCAGCAAACCAGCCCCATGGAGAGCCTCAGCTTTTATTCTTCTTGTTTTCTCCCATTTGGGAGCTGAAACTTTAGCTTCATATCCTTCTCCATGGATATGAGGACAGGAAGCTTAACGAGGCCTAGAAGGAAGCTGGATGCCTACAGCGACAGGACGAGATGAAACAGCCTCAAGTTGTGCCAGGGGAGATTTAGGATGGATATTAGGAAAATATTTTTCACAGAAAGGGTTTGAAAGCATTGGAACAGGAAGCCCAGGGAAATGGTGGAGCCACCATCCCTGGAAGTGTTCAGAAAACGTGGATATGTCACTTGAGGACATGGTTTAATGGTGAACATGGTGGTCATGCTGGGTTGCCAGTTGGACTTGGTCTTAAAGGCCTTTTCCAAACAATTCCATGATTCTGTGGTGTCATGATACCATAAAGAGGGGTGATAATTGGACTTGGTCTTAAAGGCCTTTCCCAAACAATTCCATGATTCTGTGATGTCATGATACCATAAAGAGGGGTGATAATAATAATAAAACCACCAAATACAAACCTTGTAAAATAATTCCCTCAAAGTGGTATAAAAATTGTGGTATCACAAATCATACCTGGCTGATTTGTCTAGCTCAAAACTCAGTCAATGGAGGAACTAAAAAGTATTTAGAAGGAAAGAATTCGGCATGAATAAAGAAACCAGAGTCTTGTCCTGGTTTCATTTCAAGGATTAAAAAAGTTACAGGATAAGCTCCTTAGAGGACAATCACATCAGAACTGTAATGAAATATTTTCACAAGAAAAATCCAAGGTGACTGGCTGTCACAAAACAGCTTAAAAAGGGAACAAAAACCTTTGAAACAATCAAAGGTGTGAAAAATGCACTGATAAAAAAAAACCAACCCACCTTCTGCCCAGATCTGCAGAATTTCCTGTGGATGACTCCCAAGTTAATTAAAGATGAATCTTCCAAATAGCTTGTGGCAGAAAAGAAAAATTAATAAAAATTAAAAAAAATAATCTCTGCATAGAATAATAGTTTTGTTAAGTCATTTCTTGCAGGGGCAGGATATGATCTCCTGCCTGGGACTGGACACCAACACCTTTGCTTCAGCTCTTTTTGCTGGACTCAGACTGGAAAGCTGTCGATACTTGGTCCTAAGAGAGGGTTAAACCATGTTGCTTGGCTCTCCTGAGGGAAATCTGTGCCCCTTGAAGTCAATGGGAATGTTGCTGAACTTCCATAAGTTGTTATGGTGTGGTCCCTCAATCACAGCTTGAGAAGTGGCAAATAAAACTGGTATCCATCCTTGGTCACTCACTTTGCAACTCTCCATTGGGAATATGGTTAGTAGGAGCTTGGTGCTCCCATGTGGTTCACATCCATTATAAAGCTATGGGAATTTTGCTGCTGGTACAGGGCAAGAAATCACAAAAGGAAAAATAGCTGTTGCATAAAAGGACCCAGATGAACTGGAAACAACCCACTGCTTGAGCAATGAGGGCCAAATCTCACCACGTGCCAGCAGGTCTGGCCTGGAGATGTTCCTCCACCTCTCCAAGAGGCTGCTTCAGTCCAAAGAGAATCAGAGATAAGAAATGACAGCGTGAACGCACAGAGAGTCATCACTCCTTGCTGCTGCCTGGTGTTTTCCCAGACCAGATGCACACAGCTCCAGTGGCACAGGTCCCCTCACAGGTAATGACAGTGGCAAAAGTGTAGGTACATCCCAACAGTGAGCGAAAATCATCTCTTCTTCCATTAGCTTCCTGGTATCAGTGCTGACGTTGCTGGCGAGGTTCCCGTCACTCCATTTTAAACTAATCAAGGTGCTGGGTGCTTTTGGATGGGCTCCTTGGGTTTCTCCACTGCCAATAAAGGAGCTCAGAGAGCCCCAGATCATAGCTCACACAAACCTCATGGAGTCAGTAGGACCCAGGAGCTCAGCACTCACCCACAGTAACACTTCCAGAACTGCAAGAACTGAGGCCCTTCCTCTAACCGCTCATCACCCTCCCCTGAAAAGCTGTTCTTTTGTTGGGCCCACAATAGTCTAGTTGTCTCACACACATACACATGCCTCCCATTAAACCTAACACAGAGTCGATACATGTGAAGCAACATCAACAGACAACGTGACACAGCAAGCCTATCCTGCTGGGCTCTCCTGAAAAGAGCCTTTCAAAACAAGAAAAGATAAAAAAAAAAAAAGATAAAGCAAAATTAAGGTAACAAAGAAAGTGGTGGAGCTTTAGGTTTTCTTTTATAAAAGACAAATCATTTATTGATTCAGTCCTTCCACTTGCAACCTCTTTGGTAACAGTCACAACACTTCCAGACTGGGAGAACGCAGTGGAAAGGCCCAATTCTGGCCTCACACCAATTTCAGAGCTCAGCAAGCCCTGATGTGCCTTGGTGAGAGACCAAAAGCAGGTTTCAAAGCATGGCCAAGGACCTGGCCTCTATGGACAACCCAAACCAGCCTACCCTACCATGACTCGTCATGCTCATGGGGAGCCCAGAGAGCAGCCCCAGCACCCCCAGGCAGAAGATGGCTTGGGATGGGGATGGCTGACTGTGAGTTGTGTCCTGGAAGGCAGCTTTGATGAACCTCTTGGGACCTCCTGGACATTGGCCAATGGGGCTGTCAATGAAGCAAGTCTCGCCCGTTCCTGCGGTAGACAATGGCTTGCCTCAGTTGGCCTCATGGTAATAGACTAACCTGACCATCTCAGCCTCCCCCTCCTCACACCATCCCAAAGAGAGTAACTGCTGTACTTGGAGTTAAAGATAAACATATATTGATTACACATGGTCATAAAAAAAAAAGTAATAATAATAATACATTTCCTAGAACATTACTTAAGACGCTTCCGAAAAGCATCCAAGCTTCCCCTCCCCACCTTCCCTTATCTATACAGAATAAAGTGCTTCGTTTAGTTTGTTCACACTAGTAGAGCCACCGATACACTCTGAACTTGGCATGTTTGGGCAACTGATACTGAATGCCGGAAAATAATACAGAGCCAAACACCAGGCATGAGAAATTAGTTTTGAGGCAAGTGCTTGGGGTTTCATTCGTTTCCTTCAAGTTCCATGCTACTCAGATTGTTCTTATCCCTATTTTTTTGTTTTCCTTCTTTAAATTATTATTATCTTCCTTTGTCAGTTCAACCCAACTCCTATCATGGTTACGTGCCACTAGGCAGGGCTGCGTGTGGGGAAGCTCTCTTCGTCCGTGTGAACAAAGGGCGTCTGTCCGTCTGTCCTTCCCTCTCGACTTCAGGCAAACCAACAGTTCACTCAGTGGAGTTGTCTAGCAGCGGATGCTCATCTCTATTGCACTGTCACAGCCGTTCCCACCCACCGGCTGTCCATCCATCATCACCTTCCCACCGCACTGGGGTTATGGCTGTGGTCCAAAGGGCCAGCTGTGCCTCATGGATATATGAGGTGAACTGGTCTGTGCTACCAGGCTCCTGGGATATATAAACCAAAAATGACCCTCCCCACATGACTCCCTCCCTCCCCAAAGTTCAAATGACAGGGGGAAAAGAAATTCCAACCCGGACAGGTCTGGGGTTCAGGTGTGTGGGAAGAGTTGTCAGCTAAACGTTGCATTGCGGCATATTCATGAACTGCGTAATGGAAATCAAGCCCCTCTCCACCCTTGCGGTCTGTCGAAGAAAGGATGTGAGAGATTAAGGTGCAAGAGTTTAAAAAAAAAGAAAACTAATAAAAACAACAAACCAAACATAAAAAGCTTGAAAATGGACCCATTCCACCACCTCCTGCCCTGTCTAACCCAGCAGGTGCAACAGGACCAGCCGGGATGGATCTGGGATGGACGAGGCACTGCGGGAGCGACTCGTCTGAGCTCTTAGTAAGCTAATGAAAACCAGACATGAAGACACATTGGGGCTGAGTAAGGGTGTAGACAAAAGGGCTCGGAGGCCTTGTAGGACTCCTGGGAACTGCCCAGGCCTTGGAGAGGGGAGGGAGCAGCAGGGATCTGGTTCTCCAAAGTGCTGTGTGCATGGTCACATCTCGACGTCTCCAAGTGGCTCTACGAGCAGGCTCTCGAAGGGGATCGGACACGGCTGGGATCAGTCACTGGGCCTTCCGCTGGGCTTTAGCCTCAATGAAGTCCTCCCATCTCACAGAGATGTCCAAGGGGGCAGGTCCTCACTAGGAGAGGATGAACTGGGACAGGAATGGGGAAAGCCACCTCCACGTGAGCCTTACAAGGGAGCACATGTTGGTGTGGGTGTTTACTTGGTGGGGAGAAGTCTATCAGCCAGGCAGGCTGATGGGCTCCATCACAGAAGACCATACAAGCAAGGCAAGCCCTCAGGGCACAGTGCTCCCATCCTGTCTCAAGGCTGTGCATGAGAGGAAAGAAGCACAGGGAAGCCCAAGGGGGATGTATGAGGCAGTGGAGGAAACAGCAGGGACCACTCTACTGAGGCCCTCCAACACCTTCAAGGGTATCACTGAATGCTTCTCTAAAGCAATCATCTTCCAGTATGGGTCATGGTCCCTTCAGAAAGCCAATGGCCCCAAGAGTTGAATGCCCCCATCCCTTCTGGATGTGTCTGAGAAGGCTTTGCACCACCTCAATGAGCCCCAGGGGTTATGGAGGAGGACAGCAGAGAAGCCTTTGGTACCCTCCTGAGGAGGTCAATATGGCAATGCAGCTCTGCCATAGCAACCTCTTTTTGCTCAAAGCAGATGGAGATGAGAGTGAGCTCACTGGTACTGAGTGCAGTGATAGGGATCCACAAGATCCCAGCCAACATGGGGATGAAAAGCAATTTGTTGCTCCAAAATGCTAACCTCCACAGGAGCAGCCAGCTTTCCAGAGACACCAGGCATGGGAGACACCACTCAGCAGGAGGGGACAACACCTCAAAGAGCACTCAGGACATCACCAAATGTTCCCCTGTCCTGTACCTATCATGTTCCTGCATGTCCCCAGCCAACAAAGCCCCGGCGCACGTGACTGAATCCTCCCATCTCTGCAGGAGCAGCTCAAGTGCTCTGCTGATTTGGAGATGAAGCACCAAGACTTCTTGCAGAGGCAGACATGGCTCAATGTCCCCACCACCCTGCTGTGACCCAGAACAAGGTGCATATGAGAAAGGACTCCTGCAGCCTTTCTTCTTGCCTACCAACAGCCCTGCTCAGCACCTCCTCAATGACCTGCCCCATGTCTGCATGCATCCACAGCGCTGGCCTTGAGAGCAAGGCATCAGTTGCAATGCACCCCAGCACCTTTCTGCCTGTGCTGGATGCTCTGCATCCCCTGCAGTGCTCCCAACTCTCCCTGACCCCAAAGGGGACACTTGCCTAGGCAGAGAGACAACACAGACACCGTCAGGTTAACACAGACACCCTGGGGCATAGCACAGCAGCAAGAGACCCAGCTTGGACCCGTGTCCAACAAAAAGGTTGCTAAAGCCTTCCTCTTCTCGTCCTCCAGCAGCACAAAGCCAGCCATATTATTCATAAGTGAAACCAAAGACCAACTCGACTTCAACAAACACAGTGCGGCCAGAGATGCACTAACCAATGCTGCAGGACATCACCAAACCAACCACAGCCCTCACTGGTCCCTACTGGTCCCTCCAAACCAGGGCAGGGCAATAGATGCCAACCCCGCAGGGTGAGGCATAGCTTGGGAGAGCAACACAGGCAACAAGCTAGAGGAACATCACCACCAGGCTGAATGTGGTCTTGCTTTAGCTATGAACCTTGCAATGGGACTAGCCTGGAGCTCACCCATCAGTCAGGGGTTTATTCGAATTGTTAAGGCACTATTCTGGGCCAATTCTGCCGAGAAACAGCAGTGTCCTGCTCTTCTGTCCCAGGACACCCTCCCACTGGTCCTGTAGCCATCTGAGCTCTCCAAGGGCAGCTCCCCAATTCCAGAACATCCTCAGGAGCCCAGCTCCTGCTGGGATTAGCATAAAGGACACACCAGAGCCCAGTTCCCTTAGGGCACCCCAAAAATGAACCAACAGTGAGCTGCAGATGCCCCGAGACGCAACACTGGTGTTTGTGCTTTTGCCTATGGAGGAGGAAAACCTGTCACAGGGAAGGAAGACGTGGTGAGGGCTGCTAACAAAAGTGGGCTGATGGCTTTCCAATGGGGACATCTGCTCGCTTGCTGCAGGCCACCAGGGCCAAGGAGACAGGGCCATTGGGTGGTACCCACCTCAACCTCGTGGGAAAAGAGCCTGAAGTGAAAAGACCAGCTTTACAGTACAGGGATTCAAGCACCACTAACTAGATTTCGGATTATAAATATCAATGTGCCGTCAGGCATCCGTTTGGCATGCAATGCTGGTGAGCCAACCTCAGACAGTGCAGCACCCTGCTCCCCCCAGCCCCACCAGCATCCTAGCACGAAGATGAAGCTGATGTGCAGGAGGATGAAACAGAGAGTGATGCCTTTCACCTACACCCTTATGGACGGACGGCAGTTCCCCCCACAACACCCACGCTCCTCACAGGGGGCTTCCTCCTGCTCCCCCTCTCTGCAGAGAAGGATGGGTGAGAAAAAGGAATAAAAACCCAAAACAACCCCAAAACGAGGAGTAAGGGGGGTAAAGAGCAAGCGAAGCCTTGGCTCCTCGGGGGGAAGTGTTCCCGAAGGGCAGAGTAGTCCATGCAGGTGCATGGCCGGGGTGGGGGGCACCTAGTTGTTGTTCGAATTTATCCTCCCCGCGGGAAACAGGGGAGGGGGTGGTGGTAGGTGAGGAGGAGGAGGAAGGGTCTGTGGAAGAGGATGGAGCAG